TACAGCCACGTTCCCTCCTGCTAGCTGGAGCTCTCTCGCTTGCTCTCTTTCTCTGTTCCAAAAAACATTCAATTCTTTTCTGCACAGTGGAACAGCTTCACAAAGAGGGGCAAAAAGTGCCTCTGTTCCCCAGGACTGCCTGTAGCCTAGTGCTTAGGGCACTCTCCATGTTGATGAGAGTGGTCCTCTGTGGCCAAGGAGGAAACTAAAACCAGATTTGCCACATCTTGGGTACATTAACCACCAAGGGAGGGGGGCATGACCTCTTTCTAGTCTCCCTATCTTATGTTTTAAACAGAGAAAAAAAATGATCCTCGCTGCCTTTGTGAAAGGAAGGTTGTAGGCACTTACCTTCAGAAGAGAGGATTGGGCTGTGGATCCTAGACAGGCAGAAGGACAATCCAGCAGCCTGAGTAAAACACCTAAATTCCCGAGAGAGACTGAATTTAAGGCACACCTGATTCCTAAATACATCCCATAGCTTATTCTAGATGGCTTCTGACTAAGCCTGAGGGCCACGTTGCAAGTAACACGCTGGTGACATGGAGGGGGTGCATGCGGGTGCCCGTGCACCCCCTGAGATTGGCCGGGCACCCCCTGGAAGCGCGAGCTGCAAAACCAGAAGTGCACTTCCGGTTTCACTGCTGGCTTGGCAACTGGCTGCTGCAGGACCCATGCCCCCCCAAGACTCGGGAGACACTAGTTGCCCATGAAGTTACACTTAGCATGTGCTAAATACACTTAAAATGTTAGCAACTGTGCACTGAAGCAGTAAAATATGTGCTAAGTGGGCTTTTATCATATCAGTATTACAAATTTTTGCACAAGGAATATCCCTAGATTGCAGTAAGTAACATGTGTTCAGCTCTTATTGAACTGCTCCATAAAGATAATACGAGCAATTTGCAGTCCTCACCCAGGAGTTGACATCAGCCAGGGACCCCTCTGTTGTACCAAGTCTCCAGGTGGGATGAGGAAAGCCACAAATGTCAAGAGGAAGGATCCTAGATCTTTCATTTGCCAGAGCGCTTTCTCAGAGCGCTAGAAGTTCTGAAGCACCTGCCTCTCCCCATACATTCATTCTCTACTCTGAGAACAAGATGTTTAAAAGGCAGGTGCTAGTGCATTCAATTTTGCAGTGCTAGATCCTTTTCTGGATTTCGCCCATACTGACGGCAACCTATTTCACAGGTCCTTAACCTGGAAAAGTTGTCTGCATGAAAATAGACTGTAACTGAGCAGAGCTAAGGTCAGGATACCTCAAATCAAGCATGCAGAGCAGAATTCAGGCACCCTTGTATTTGCCCATTACTACTTGCTGCTAGATTTGAGGAAGAAGCAGATACAGTATAAGTTTTGTTTATGTGACTCTGCTTTGTCTATAACCCAATAAACAACATGATCCTTTAGTGAGTGTTTGATCTGTTCCTTTCCAATTTCTAAATTCTCCAGAAGGCCTATCTGGCATCTGGCTGCAGGCCAATTTGATGACACAGCTCTGTGCTCCTGGAACCTGAAGCACAATCCCTTCAAAGGCTGCTGTTTCAACTATACACCTCTGTATCCCTCCCCATTACCATATGAAGTTATGCTTTAAAAGCATAGCAGTTTTTACTACCACAAGAATAGTAATAATATGAAATAAAAGCAGTTTAATACAAATAAACCTCTGTTTGGGTGCAGTATAAGCACATGCCTACAGGATATCCTGATTTTTTTTAATGATTTTCAATAATTTTGTGATACAGAATCATGTTTCATGTGCGCCACCTTCTGGCTATGATGCTTCAACCTCTACAACCATTCATTACAGTTTGGGATCTGGCTGCAGTGTGTATTTGTTCCAATTATTTCTACATTTTAGCAAATCAGAAATGTATAGAAAAAAATAATTTGGATTTAAACTTTTTGCATTTGAAGAGTACTCTTCCATTTGGTATCCCAGAATGTTTTTATAACTGCTGGCAACTCAAACTTCCTGATGCTCCTGCAAGATTCGCTCAGGAAATTGATGGGCAGGATCCCTTGGGAGGCCAGGCTAAGGAGAACTGGCTGTACTTTAAAGAAACCTTACTGAGGGTGCAGGAAGAAAAAAATCCTGCTGTGCAAAGTATGGCAGAAGAACAGCTTGGCTTAGCAGGGAACTCTTCAGTGAGCTAAAACACAAAAAGGAAGCTTACAAGAAGTGGAAACTTGGAGAAATGACTAGGGCTGAGTATAAGGGCATTGCTTGGGCATGCAGGGATCAATCAGGAAGGGCAAAGCACAGCTGGAGTTGCAACTAGCAAGGGACGTGAAGAGTAACAAGAAGGGTTTCTACAAGTATGTCAGTGACAAGAGGAAGATCAGGAAAAGCGTGAATGGGGGAGGCAACTTAGTGACAGGTGATGAGGAAAAGGCTGAAGTACTCAATGACTTTTTCACCTCAGTCTTCACAGGCAAGGTCAGCTCCCAGACTATGGCACCTGGCAGCACAGTTTGGGGAGGAGCTGAGGAGCTGACAGTGGCAAAAGAACAGGTTAGAGATTCAATAAGGAAAAGTGCAGGGTCCTGCACTTAGGATGGGACAATCCCATGCACTGGTACAGGCTGGGGACAAACTGGCTAAGCAGCAGCTCTGCAGGAAAGGACCTGAGGGTTACAATGGACAATACGCTGAATATGAGCCAACAGTGTGTACTTGTTGTCAAGGCTAATAGCATATTGGGCTGCATCAGTAGAAGCACTGTAAGTAGATCAAGGGAAGTGATTCTTCCCCTCTATTTGGCAATGGTGAGGCCACATCTGGATTACTGTGTCCAGCCCCCACTACAGAAAGGATGTAGATAAATTGGAAAGAAGCCAGTGGAGGGCAACAAAAAGTGTTAGGGGGCTGGGGGACAGGACATCTGAGGGGAGGCTGAGGGAGCTAGGTTTATTTAGTGTGGAGAAAAGAAGACTGAGAAGGGATTTAATAACAGCCTTCAACTACCAAAACAGTGGTTTCAAAGAGGATGGAGCTAGACCAGGGTTGGGCAAAATACAGCCTGCGGGCCAGATATAGCCCACCTACTGATTAGATTTGGCGCACAGGGAGATGTCCTCCAGTTGATTCAATCCAGACTACAGCTGCCCCCACGATGCTCTGCACAAGGCCGAGCCCAGCCCGGGGCATGCCATGCTCCAGTTTGCACCCGCAGGCCGAGGCCTGACCAGCACACATAGCTTCCAGTTGGATTGCTCCCATTGCAACCATGACCCTACCCCATGATCCTGGCCTTGGTCACCTGTCTCAGTCACAAACACCATTCCCCACCTACTCACAGCCTCATCCCACATAGGGAGTTTTGGTGACTTGTTGCAGAGGGAGGGGAGGGGTGCTGATCCAGCCCATGACAACTCATCCAAAACCCCCTGATACTTGTGGATCCCTCAGCTAGACTCTTCTCAGCGTTGGCAGATGGCAGAACAAGAAGCAATGGTCTCAAGTTGCAGCAAGGGAAGTTTAGGTGAAATATTAGGATGAACTTTCTCACTAGGAGGGTAGTAAACACTGGAACAGGCTACCCAGAGAGGTTGTGGACTCTCCCTTCTTGGAGATTTTTAAGACCCAGCTAGACAAAGCCTTGTCTGGGATGATCTAGTTGGGGATGGTCCTGCTTTGAGCAGGGGGTTGAACTAGGTGACCTCCTGAGGTCCCTTCCAACCCTCATGTTCTATGATTCTAAGATAGACAATATTACTCCATTTGAGATGCACACCTTGCTGGGGTTATTTGACTCCAGCAGTCTTTCCTGCCCAGAGCTGGGGTGGGGGGCAGACTCCATGATCTCACAAGGTCCCTTTCAGCCCTAAACTTCTGTGAATCTGTGAGAGATACAGAACAGGAGGCACAGAGAGGTCAAACAAGCTGCCCAAAGCAACAGCAGCCAACGAAGTGAAGCCAACAGCGGTTTTGTCCTGAAGTCTGCAGGGCAGTTGGAAAAAGCAGCCTGAGAGGTCTTCTCAACTCACACAACATTCCCTTGTACGTGGGTGTGTAAAAAACCACAACATGGAAACAGGGCCTCCTGAATCACAAGGCTGATAACACGCAGGTATCACAGATCTCCAGGCGGACTGTGAAGGCTGCCAGCGGCATGTACCCAGGAGCAGGCTGGTGAACTCTAAAACCAGGCCAAGCAGCCCCCACTCCTGCTGAGCAAAACCAGGTGTTGTACCGGCAGGTTTGCTTGGCACTGGGAGAGCCACAGGGCTGAAATCTTGATAACAGTCTTCAAATACCTGAGACGCTACTTACAGGCATGAACACCATGTGTCCCCAGAGGCTAGGGGGGCCCGGTGAGCTCCCGCAGGTGGCCCCGATGCTGTTGGTGGTAGGGCCATGGCAGCGCCAACCAGTGAGCTCCTGCAGGCAGCTGCAGTGCTGTCAGTGGTGGCGAGCGCTGACCGGCAGTCAATGACCACCTTCAGACGCCACCAGCAATTGTGGTCCCCCTGCAAATGCCGCTGGCCGTGTTGACGGTGGGGGAGGGTGCCTTTTTGCAGGTGGTGCACCATCATGCACAGCGGGTGTGGGTGCACAGTGCACCCACGTGTACCCCCTACACATCACCAATGCTTGAAGGGAAGATGGAGGTGGGCTCTTCTCTGTGGCTGTAGGGGACAGGACTAGGAGCAAGGGGCTGAAGCTACAACAAGGGCAAGGCAGGCTGGAGATTAGGGGGCTCTGAGGGTGGGCAGGCTGCCTGGCAGCCGTGGACCCTCCACCCCTGGCAGCTTTCAGGAGCGGGCTGCGGGGCTCAGACAGGCAGCTGGTCCTGGCCCTGCCCTAGCACGGCCCAGGCTGCACGAGGAGCCCCAGGAGGACGGGGGACGGCAGCCCGGCCAGCCCTGGCCTCGCCCGGGGCTCCACAAATAGCACCCCCACTTGAAGGCGCAGGGAGGCCGGGCTGGGTTTCGGGGCGGGGGGCGGGACCGGCGCTGATTGACAGCCCGCTCCGTCCAATCCGCTCCCCCCGCCAGGTTACAGTTGGTCGCCGTAGCAACCGCCAGGGGAGCTGTGCGCGCGCCATGAGCACCATCCGGGTCTATTACACCAGCGTCAGCGGCTCCCGGGAGGTGAGCGGGGCGACCCCCCCGCCAGCCTCTCACGCGCTGTGGCACGGGCCCGGCCCCGCGCCGGTTCTGCTAACGGCCGCGTAGGGCCGGGAGTGGGGGCGAGGGACGGCGGGGGTGCGCACGCGCAGTGGGTCCCGCGGACCCGGCTCACGCGCCCCCCCTCGCAGGTGAAGCAGCGCCAGGCCGAGGTGCTGCGCATCCTGGACGGCAACAGGCTGAAGTACGAGCTCATCGACGTGTCGGTCAGCGAGCGCCTGCTCCAGGAGATGCGTGACAAGGCGGGAGACCCTGGCGCCGTCCCACCGCAGATCTGCAACGGCGAGGACTACTGCGGAGTAAGACGCCGGGGCTGCCCGGGCTCTGCTCCTGGGCGCACCCCATGGGCTGAACACAGCAGAGAAACGCCTCTGCTTGTTCACATCCAGGATGAAATGATGCACATGTAATAGCCGAATCTAAACACATACACGGTATAACCTCCCAAGGTCCCAGAAGAAACTTTAGTACACTGTTGACCATCTCTAATCCCACTTTTGCTTTCATTAGCTAGGAAACCTGAGATCGGGTGGACCTTTTATTTCTCTTGCCCTGTGTCTAGGTTCCCAGCAAACACACTTCCATGCATA